AAAGCCTCATTTAGAAACATGTGTTTTTTAAGTAACTTTTTGACTTTTTGACTAAAATATTATGTAAAAAAAATTAGTATGTTTGGGATGACTTTTTAATTTTTTACGAAAATATGTGCAAAAAATATAGAGAAAAAGGAATCTTTGACTTTTTGGTATAACTTGTTAGCTTTTTTATTTTTTTAGTAACCTTTTTGGTTTTTAGGCTAAAAAGATTACATCCCAAACGAGGCCTAAGGGTGGATGGAATGCAAATATTGGATAGTCAACAGGAAAAGAAAAGAACAATAGCATACCTTAAAATGAAACATTCATACATGGAAAATAACAATAGCATACCATAAAATGAAACATTCATACCTTAAATAATACGGGAAATCGTCAAATGAAACATCTATGTCTTTGCCATCAAGAATCCCCGCATGAATGTCTTCTTTAAATGCTGCGCACCTCAGAGACATACCCGATGTTGATGCCAGCAGTGAATCCCTCGTCCACTCATTTCTTTCTTCAAATACCTGTTTACTTTGCTTAATTCCATGTTAAAACTAGTTGACAGAGCAAACATCCACAATTAAAGGCCTAAGCAAACCATTCAGTGCAAAAAAATTACATTGCCTGCCTCTATGCTAGAGTCCAGGTTGCCATCAAGAGCAAGGATCTTGCTGGTCGCTCCAATGTCAGCAGCTTTATCACTCCCCGTATTTGTTGCTGAATTGACTTCCAGGCCATCAAGGTCAACATCCATACTGTCATGAACAACCGGAAGGGGCGGTAGCTCAGCCCCCTGATGTGTTTTACCACTGGCTTGAGAAGTAGGCTTCAAACGTGATAAATCTTGCCGCAGGCTTGAAAGTGATGCCAAAATAGAAGCCCCAGCCACAGCTGAAGGATCCCCTGCCCTCCTTTCAACGTGTAGCAATTTACCTACAGTACTCTGAACCTCTGTACCACCAACTGTTGAAGGGGTCTTGAGAACAACCTCATTCAAGAGTTGCAGAAAAATCTATATGGAGAAAAATTAAGGAAATTCCCACATTATCAAACACAAGCACACACAAACACACAATTCAATAAGACAAAGTACAAAGACTATTGAGATCCCACAAGCAAATTTCATGGGTCCGACAAGACTCTGTAAACTGTCCCGACATAGATTCCGGTTAGTTTCTACAAGGGTGAAGAGGACGAAGCAGACATGGTTTCTACGAGACGAAGTGGATCTCTCTCCGGAAACACCAGCAAGAGATCATCTTCTTCCGAAGACAAGCCTCTCTCTCCCAAGCGCCAAAAGGTCTCTCCACCCCAAAAATCGAATCACGCCCTTCTCTTTTATTTTTTATTTTGGCGTTTTGCTAGGTCGTCAAAGTCTGGATTTTTCGATTGAATCGTCGCCTTTTTTGACCCTAGATTTGCTTCAATTTCAGGCTGAAAATGGCGGTTCATCGGAAAAATCGGCTCCCGCTGAGAATTCCAAGGAAATGTGCTCTCCGGCGGCCGTGGATCCACCGGAATGCGGGCCTGTTGATCCTCCGACTGCCGGCGTCGGCGAGGCTGTGAGTCTCGGTAAAGGAGATGCGGCACAAGCGGTTGCTGTAGCTACCCCGATCGCTGATGGTGAGTTGATTACTTGTTGTTTTGCATGTATGTGTATGTATATGTATATATTCAGTGTGATTTGAATTTATAAGACTCAGGTGTTTTGATTTTGGTTTGTTTTCGAGGTTCTTCGCCGGTTGTGGTGGATAAACCAAGGAGTTCTTTCTCTTCATGGAGTACTTATCAGAAGCAGAACCCCAGTTTTGAATCTTCAACCCCGTGGTGTAGGCTTTTGTCGCAGTATGGACAGGTTTAAAGCTTCTCCTTATGAGATTTATTAGTACAAATTTTTATTTATTTATTTATTTTTTGTGCGATTATAATTGGGTATTGTGTACAGTAGATGAAATCACATTTTTCAATTGTTGTTTTATGTACACATAAACTGACTGTATTATCTGCTGCAGAATTCCAATGTTCCGATTTGTGCATCAAATTTCACAATTGGTGCAAGTAGAAACACCAATCTTGTATTGAAAGACCAAACCATTAGCGCCGTTTTATGTGCAATCAAGCACACACAGGTAGAGGGTTGATTCAATATTCAGTTTGCACACGCACGGATGTTACTTTGGTCTACTTGATTGCCTTTTTTGTGTTGTCGTCGCCGTTGTTTATTTTTGGGTATGACTTTGATAGTGTGTACATGCAGTATATGTACTCATTGTTTGTGGCATTGATCAGCGTGAAGGCACTTCTGTTGCTTTGCTTGAAAGCAAGGGGAGCAAAGGAACTGTGCAAGTAAATGGGAAGACTATTAAGAAGGGTACCAGCTGTGTCCTCAATTCTGGCGACGAGGTGGTTTTTGGTCTGTTGGGGAACCATGCTTACGTATCCCTCTTTCAGTGTGCCCCGTCGTTCAATTTTTAAAATTTGCTTGTGGGATCTCAATAGTCTTTGTACTTTGTCTTATTGAATTGTGTGTTTGTGTGTGCTTGTGTTTGATAATGTGGGAATTTCCTTAATTTTTCTCCATATAGATTTTTCTGCAACTCTTGAATGAGGTTGTTCTCAAGACCCCTTCAACAGTTGGTGGTACAGAGGTTCAGAGTACTGTAGGTAAATTGCTACACGTTGAAAGGAGGGCAGGGGATCCTTCAGCTGTGGCTGGGGCTTCTATTTTGGCATCACTTTCAAGCCTGCGGCAAGATTTATCACGTTTGAAGCCTACTTCTCAAGCCAGTGGTAAAACACATCAGGGGGCTGAGCTACCGCCCCTTCCGGTTGTTCATGACAGTATGGATGTTGACCTTGATGGCCTGGAAGTCAATTCAGCAACAAATACGGGGAGTGATAAAGCTGCTGACATTGGAGCGACCAGCAAGATCCTTGCTCTTGATGGCAACCTGGACTCTAGCATAGAGGCAGGCAATGTAATTTTTTTGCACTGAATGGTTTGCTTAGGCCTTTAATTGTGGATGTTTGCTCTGTCAACTAGTTTTAACATGGAATTAAGCAAAGTAAACAGGTATTTGAAGAAAGAAATGAGTGGACGAGGGATTCACTGCTGGCATCAACATCGGGTATGTCTCTGAGGTGCGCAGCATTTAAAGAAGACATTCATGCGGGGATTCTTGATGGCAAAGACATAGATGTTTCATTTGACGATTTCCCGTATTATTTAAGGTATGAATGTTTCATTTTATGGTATGCTATTGTTATTTTCCATGTATGAATGTTTCATTTTAAGGTATGCTATTGTTCTTTTCTTTTCCTGTTGACTATCCAATATTTGCATTCCATCCACCCTTAGGCCTCGTTTGGGATGTAATCTTTTTAGCCTAAAAACCAAAAAGGTTACTAAAAAAATAAAAAAGCTAACAAGTTATACCAAAAAGTCAAAGATTCCTTTTTCTCTATATTTTTTGCACATTTTTTCGTAAAAAGCCAAAAAATCATCCAAAACATACTAGTTTTTTTTACATCACATTTTAGCCAAAAAGAAAAAAAATTACTAAAAAAGCCTGTTCTCAAACGAGGCCTTAATAGGGGTAAATTACAAACACACACCCCAAGGTTTGCTTAAAATACATGTATCTCGTTGATCATCTCATGGATTTGTTAACTTCATATTTTATATCTTGCAAATGAGTGTGTTTTGTAAGAGGAAAGAAAAAAAAAATAATCAATACTGTGGTGAATCCAGTTAAGGATATGGCTGTGGATAATTAATTTGGCTTTAGGTCTATGGTGAAAGTTTGAAAACACGCGGGGTATAGGTACCAAGTTCCCTTCGGTTATGAGCCGGTAAAGTGATTTTTAGGTAGTGCTATGAGAGTCTACCTGTAGACATCAACCTAGGGATTACCAATGTTGTATTTATTGTCTTGTTTTCTATTTAAAAGGTGTTTCAAACATGGTTTTGGAATTCAAAAAGGGAAAAAGTTTTATGTTTTGTCATGTCATTTCATATGCATTCACCATATGATGTTAAACATTATACATGTTGTTAAGTTTTATCTCTTTGGGTTTCTTGCTCACCCTACATGGAAACAACTTTCAGGTATTGATGGCATGCCTCCGCCAAGGTGATAACTTGGGATGATTTTGGAGCTTAAGGCTCGTTTTGTTTGTTTTCTTTTCTATAGCCTAAGGCTTTGAGGTATTGGGCATGTGGCCCATTTTTGTTACAACCAGGCAAGGTCATAGAAATGTGTAGCCTTTAAGGCATGAACTTGTATTAGTTTAAATGTTGTTTCTAATTGATCACATGTTGTAGATTCATCCTTTAGGATCAATGAATGTATTAATGTAGGTGATATGATTTTGTAAAACTTTAAGGCACATTTATTAATGAAATACTATCTTAGGAATGTTCCTTCATATCAAATGTTTGAGATTACTTATAAGCTTCCACATATTTAATGGATTTAATGAGCAGTTGGCGTATCCATATTTTTTTGGGCATTACATGTGTCGATACTCAATTTCGAACAAAAGAAAATTGGTTCTGATAGTACTATAACTTCAATGGTGGATGGGTCAGATTGATCCATGCTTTCAACGGGTCTGCTGGCCTCGGAGTCCTCAAAGCAAGCTTGCAAAAAGGTCCAAAGGGGAAGGTAATCCCCCGACGGACACTCCGACGATCAAGTTAGGTTAGGGGAGATTGATTATAGAGGGAGACAGAGAAGCCAAGGATGAAAAACATAACTTTATTTGTATCTCGAAAGCTTACTATATCCTTCTTTTTTCCTCATCATTTCCCTGTCCATTCTTAGTTGTCTTCATGGCCAAAAGTCTATGGCCTAGTTAGCATCGTTCATGGTGATTCTACATGCTCCTGCATGAAGGGTCTTGCCACATTTAATGCTACGATGGCCTTATTAAATGGTTTATGGGGGCAACATAACTTTATAAGATCTTTGTCTTCTTACGTAGCTGGTCCCTGGGCTGTGGGCTGGACTCCTAGATCTTGGGCCGTAGGCTGGGCCCTCATGGACCGTGTCCCCATCAGTAGTCCCCCATTCTTGAGTACATCTTTAGTCCAATGAAGGGAATATGAAGAGTAGAAGGAGTCCCCCAAGGGAGAGAGGGCAGCAGTTGAATGTCATGGTTGGAGGAAAGTGGCCGAGCATGGTGAACGACTGACTGACGTGGGTGGTCGACCGTGGGGTGGCCGATCGCAAAGGTGGCCGGCCTAGCGAACGACTGTCAGGGAGGTCAACCGCAAAGATGGCCGAGTGTGAAGCGTCGTCAAGGAGGCCGACTGGCAGAGTGGGCGACCGTCAGGGTGGTCGACCGCAAAGGTGGCCGACCGTCAGGGGTCGTCAGGGAAGTCGACGGCAGGGTAGGCGACCGTCAAGCTGGCCGACCGTCATGGTGGCTGACCACAAAGGTAGTTGATTGTTGTGGCGGCTGATCGTCAGGGTGGCTGATCAGAAAAGTAGCCGACTGTGAGGGTGGCCGATCACAAAGGCAACCACCGCTAAGGTGGCAAATCGTTAGAGTGGCCGACGGTAAAGGTAGCCAACTGCTAAGGTGGCTAATCGTTGGGGTGGTGTGGATGGGAAATGGATGGGCGCGGGGCTCGATGGAGAGAAACACACGTGATGATGTGAAAGGGGAAAGGCGGGAAACGAAAGGTAATTAATGAAGGTGGCGTAGTGCGTTGACGCATGTGGAGTGATCTACACCATTGATGAAAATATTGTACCGTCTATGGGGATTGGAAAGGTTTGTTATAACGGGGGATTTCAAACAGGTTGGAGGTTTTATCTGGACAGTGGGGTTTCAAACTAGCAAAGTTTAATCACGATCTGTGGAACACAGGCAAATCGTGGGGCTTGTGCGATTTACGTATCTAATTACAAGAAATCGACAGATCCCAGATTTTTCTTCATTCATCTTGTGTGATTCTCCCTTGTTTCATATTTCGAACTTCTTGCTCCCGGTGGCTGAGGTGATTTATAGGAACGTAAGGGAGATGGCACAAAAGAGAGCCCCTGCCTTAATGCTGGACGCTTTCAATGAAGATGATGGGATTACGTTGGCGAAGAAGTATAAGACAAAGAGGGTAAGAGGAAAAATGAGGGAGAGGGCACTAGGGCTAGTTTCAACTACAATGATATCTATTGTCCAACCGTTGAGCCAAATGGGCCCCAACCATTGGGACACCAAGGAGGATAGGTCGATGCTAACGGCGAGGGATCTGGAGGGATTGCAGATTAAGTATTTGATTCCTGCAGACGTTGAGTTGAGAGTGCCGCTAGCGACAGAGAGAGCATCAAACGTGAGGCCTCAGGAGTTTACGTTGCATGAAGAGGCGCTCCGGGGGGGGTTTGAGGTTACCAATTCCCCAAATTGTCATCGATGTGCTAAATTGGCTTGAGGTGGCGCCTAGCCAATTGATGCCCAACACATGGAAGATTCTAATGGCGTTCGTGATTGCCTGGCCGAGGGCGACCGATGGGAGAGAGATGTCGGTGGAGGAATTGTTCGCTTGTTACAAGGTATTCGATCAGCAAGAGACGTGGGTAACCCTGCGAGCAGTGGCGGGCAGAGGGTTGGTGTAAACGCGCCCGAACGTCCCGGGAAAATCCCGTTTTGTTCATTGGGCTCACTACAGTTCGGACTCAATGTCACGATTCTTAATCTGATCTTGCAAAGTGCAATGCGAGATTGACAAGTCACCAAAAAGTCCAAATTCGGCAAAGCATTTTGAAAAATTGATTTTTAGAAAGAAGTGCCAAACATGGACTGCTTTGCCAAATACAGAGTTGCCACCTAAATATTTTATTTTTGGAAAATTTAGGAAACCCTAACTCGTGCCTAAGGCCACGTGTCTGTCATCACCAAAGTTGCCTCGGCTCGGGAACTTGGGTACGAGAGGGGAAGGTCATGTAATGAGCACCCCCGCTCGCCCGATCAAAGATCAGCCTTTACTAACATGATATCTTATTTTTGAAAACACATGTGCTCTTATTCCAGTTATTTAACCTAGAATTACTATGTGATGCGCACAGCATACAACTATAGACTGGATCGCCTAAGTAAGAAAGCATCTCATATTCGTTTTTGAAAGCGGTTTGCTACTCGCAAGTAGGCTAAAACGCGGATTTTGCCACCCTCAAATGGTCTTAGAAAACAGAGTTTAAATAAAGTGTTGGTTTGAAAATTGAATAATAACTTTTCTATTCTTTCAGAAGTCCTATTCCAACGCTGTACTTAAAAAAGAAGTTCCCAACATTTTTCCTTTTCACTCAATTCTCGTGATCTTTGTGATTTCCTGTTTTGCTCTTATCATGAATGATATTCAAGAACTGATGAAGAATTTTTCGTTTGGGTTGGCTAAGCATACTGTCAGAATTTTTTGTAATTGTATAAATTTACAGGCAATTTCCAACAACGAAAAAATAATTAAAAAATGAAATAAAAAATTGCCATTTTTAGACATGGGTATTTTGTAATAAGTGATGCTGCTGCTTGGATTTTGTACAAGGTACCTGAAAAGGTTGTGTCAAAGCCTTGCTCACATGGTGTTTGATTTTTGTTCTGTCTAAGATTTTCCCAGTTCCAGTGCCTCTAGACGATTCATTCCTGGTGGAAAACGTACAAAGGATCTGCGTTTGTGACACGGGTTCGTGTTTATTTTGTACAAATTTTAGGGTATCTGTTTGTTCCTGTTTTTGGGATCTGATATTTCATTGTTGGTTGTTGTAAGTGAGTTTTCAAGGATTTTGCTTGTAGTGTTGTAAATGGGAAAACACTTGTGGACCGAAGATGCTGATGAGCAAATTGCGAATAATCAACCGGGCTGTGTGCGGGGTGTCCTTCATGCTCTTGACTATCATCACTGGCATTACAATGTTAAGAAGCTGCTACCCCACAACAAGCATAATGGACCAAGACATGTGAAAGGTAAACAATATGAATTTGCGCTGTGCTTTCTTCTTCTTGGTGATTATGGATGACATACAGGGTTAGAAGTCCAAACTTGGTGCTCTATTTATTTTTTGGTCTTTGTAGAACCTTTGAGTGTACACACAATGCTTGTGCAAAGATACATAGTTTATGAACGAAGATGATGAATAGAGTTTTAAATTTCTGAATTAGTTTCACATGACAATTTTTAAACTTACCAATTGTTGTAGGCATTTTTGAAAAATCAAATAGGCGTGACAGAGAAAGTGTTCACATCAACTGACTTATACACTTTATATAATAATATAGTATAGATAGTGTATATAT